ACATCAAATTGTTTGCGCCTTTGGACTTTGGGTATTGTTGCTCTCCGTTCATGCGAGAAGGACCAGGGAAGTGGGAGGGTGAAGGAATAAGCCCCCTAACAACTAACCCAAGGATCTGAATGTAGAAGAGGCTTGGAACCACTTTAACTCAAAGTTGCAGGAACTATCTGGGGCTGCCTCCTGAGCAATGGGGGGGGAAAAAATCATAGGAAGGGTTGCAGATAGGGCTGTCAATTCGTTACAGTTAACTCACGCGATTAACTCAAAAAAATTAATCGTGATTAAGCGCACTTATAACAATAGAATACCAATTGAAATGTATTAAATATTTTTGGATGTTTTTCTACATTTTCAATATTGATTTCAATGACAACACAGAATACAAAGTGCACAGTGCTCACTTTATATTATTTTTTATTACAAATATATGCACTGTAAAAATGATAAACAAAAGAAATAATATTTTTCAATTCACCTCATACAAGTACTGAAGTGCAATCTCTTTATCGTGAAAGTGTAACTTACAAATGCAGATTTTTTTTGGTTACATAACTGTACTCAAAAATAAAACAGTGTAAAACCTTAGAGCCTACAAGGCCACTTAGTCCTACTTCTTATTCTGCCAATCGCTAAGACAAACAAGTTTGTTTACATTGATGGGAGATAATGCTGCCTGATTCTTATTTACAATGTCACCTGAAAGCCGGCACTGCAAGGTATTTACATGCCAGGTATGCTAAACAAATATTCATATGCCCCTTCCATCCTTCAGCCACCATTCCAGAGGACATGCTTCTATGCTGATCATGCTCGTTAAAAAAATAATGCATCAATTAAATTTGCGACTATACTCCTTGGGGGGGGGAATTGTATGTCTCCTGCTCTGTTTTACCCACATTCTGCATATATTTCATGTTATAGCAGTCTCAGATGATGACCCAGCACATGTTCATTTTAAGAACACCTTCACAGCAGATTTGAGAAAATGCAAAGAAGGTACCAATGTGAGATTTCTAAAAATAACTACAGCACATAACCCAAGGTTTAAGAATCTGAAGTGCTGTCCAAAATCTGAGAGGGACGAGGTGTGGAGCATGCTTTTAGAAATCTTAAAAGAGCACCACTCTGATGCAGAAACTACAGAACCCAAAACACCAAAAAAGAAAATCAACCTTCTGCTGGTGGCATCTGACTCTCAAGATGAAAATGAAAATGTGTCAGTCTGAACTGCTTTGGATCATCAAGCAGAACCCATCATCAGCATGGAAGCATGACCTCTGGAATTGTGGTCGAAGAATGAAGGGACATATGACTCTTTAGTGTATCTGGCACGTAAATATCTTGCAATGCCTGCTACAACAGTGGCATGCAAACGCCTGTTCTTACTTTCAGGTGACATTGTAAACAAGAAGCAAGCAGCATTACCTCCTGCAAATTGTAACCAACCTTGTTTTTCTGAGCGATTGGCTGACCAAGAAGTAGGACTGAGTGGACTTGTAGGCTCTAAAGTTCTACATAGCATTCAAAAATAAAAGGTTTTTTTGTACATAATTCTACATTTGTAAATTCAACTTTCATGGTAAAGAGATTGTACTACAGTACTTGTATGAGGTGAATTGCAAAATACAATTTTTTTTTACTTTTTCCAGTGCAAATATTTGTAATAAAATATAAATATAAAGTGAGCACTGTACACGTTGTATTCCATGTTGTAATTGAAATTAATATATTTGAAAATGTAGTAAGCATCTAAAAATATTTTTAAAAAATGGTATTCTATTGTTTAATCACACGATTAATTGCGATTAATTTTTTTAATCACTTGACAGCCCTAGTTGCAGACCAAACTGAGGGCCAAGCATCTCAAACCGGTTATTAAGAGAAAGCAGACCACCTGCCTATAAGGAATAGAAGGGATGGATCAGCAAGGAAAAATATCTCTTGGAAGTCAGAAAGTGTAGGGGGAAAAGTAAAAATTGCCAAAAGCCAAGCAGAGTTGGAACTGGCAAGGGAAATTAAAACCCAATAGTAAAAGGTTTTAGCTATATAAAGAAAAAGAAAACAAGGAAAGAAGAAGTGCGACTGCTAACCAGTGAGGATGGGGTGGAGATGACAGCTAATCTAGGAATAGCCCAACACCTAAATGAATACGTTGCCTCAGTTTTTGGTAAGAGCAATGAGGAGCTTGGGACAGTGGCAGGATCAGTAATGGAAACAAGGATATGGAAGTAGAAATCACCATATCCGAGGTAGAAGTTAAATTCAAACATCTTAACGGGACCAAATCCAGGGGGCCTGGATAATCTCCATCCAAGATTATTAAAGGAACTGGCACATGAAATTTCAAGCTCAATAGCAAGGATTTTTAATGAATCCATAAACTCGGGGGTCGGATGCTATGACTGAACAATTTCTAGTATAGTACCTATATTTAAGAAGGGGAAAAAGGCAATGCAGGAAACTACAAACCATTAGTTTGACCTCAATTGTATGCAAGATCTTAGAACAAATTTTGAAAGAGAAAGTAGTTAAGGGCATACAGGTAAGTGGTAATTGGGATAAAATACAACATGGTTTTACAAAAGGTTGACCATGCCAGACCAACCTGATCTCTTTCTTTGAGAAGATAAGCGATTCTCTAGACAAAGGAAATGGAGTAGATCTAATCTACCTGAATTCAGTAAGGCATTGATACAGTTCCACGTGAGAAATTAGTTAAATTAGGGATTAATACAGGAATCGAACTGGTTAAAAGGAGACTATAACCAGTCATCCTGAAAGATGAATGGTCAGACTGGAGGGAGTTTACTAGTAGAGTTCCTCAGGGATCGGTCTTGGGACCAATCTTATTTAACATTTTTATTAATGACCTTGGCACAAGTAGGAGTGTGCTAATAAAATCTGCAGATGACACAAAGTTGGGAGGTATTGGCAATAGAGAGGAGGACTGGAATATCAGACAAGAAGATCTGGAGGACCGTGAAAACTGGATTAATAGAAATGGGATGAAATTTAATAGTACAAAGTGAAAGGTCATACACTTAGGGACTAATAACAAGAATTTTTGCTATAAACTAAGGATTTATCAGTTGGAAGAAACAGAAGAGGAGAATGACTAATACACCTTGGTCTATTACAGGATAACTATGAGCTGCCAATATGATGCAGCTGTGAAAAAGGCTAATGCACTTGGTGGGGTATTTCCAGTAGAGATAGAGAAGTGTTATTGTCATTACACAAGGCATTGGTGAGACCTCTTTTGGAATACTGTGTGCAATTCTGGTCTCCCATGTTTAAGAAAGATGAATTCAAACTGGAACAGGTGCAGAGAAGGTCTACTAGGATGATCCGAGGAATTGAAAACCTACCTTACGAGAGGAGACTTAAGGACCTTGGATTTGTTTACCCTAACCAAACAAAGGCTGAGGGGAGATTGCTCTCTATAAATACATCAGAGAGATAAAAACCAGGGAGGGAGAGGAGTTATTTAAGTCAAAGGACAATGCTGAGATAAGAACAAATAGATATAAACTGGCCGCCAACAAGTTTAGGCTTGAAATTATACGAAGGTTTCTAACCATCAGAGGAGTGAAGTTCTGGAACAGCCTTCCAAGGGAAATAGTGGGGGGCAAAAAACAATTTGTTTCAAGACGGAGCTTGATAAGTTTATGGAGGGGGACGGTATGATGAGATTGCCTACAATGGCATGTGGCCCATCCACGACTGCTATTAGCATTTATCTCCTACAGCCATAGATGGAACACTAGATAGAGAGGGATCTGAATTACTACAGATAATTCTTTCCAGGAGTCTGGTTGGTGGGTCTCACCAACATGCTCAGGGTCTCTAACTGATCGCCATATTTGGGGTTGGGAATGAATTTTCTCCCAGGCAGATTGGCAGAGACCCGGGTTTTTTTCGCCTTCCTCTGCAGCATGGGTCACTGGCTGGTTTGAACTAGGGTAAATGGTGGATTCTCTGTATTTTTAAGTCTTTAAACAATGATTTGAGGATATCAGTAACACAGCCAGAGGTTAAGGGTCTTTTACAGAAGTGAATGGGTGAGGTTCCCTGGCCTGTGCTGTGCAGGAGGTCAGACTAGATCAGGGGTGGCCAAACTTCCTGAACTTCCAACCCACATACGACAATCTTCAGAAGTTCGAGAGCTGGGGAGTGCCTGCTGGGGCTAAGGGCTTCAGCCCCATGGGAGGCACCTGCTGGGGCTTGGGGCTTCCGCCCTGCAGGGAAGGGGGTCTCGGGGCCTCAGCCCTATCCCACTCCTGCTGAAGCCCTGAGCCATGGCACGTACACCCTATGGGGCTGACGCCCTGGCAGGCGCCTCCCACAGGGCTGAAGCCCTGAGACCTCCCCACCCCACCCCACTGGGCAGAAGCCAGAGGCAATGTGGGAGGGGGACACATGGGGTCACATGCTTCCCCAACAATTTTTGCCAGGGGTTGCTGGCCCCGCTCAGCCACATGGTGCCGCCGGCCCCGCCCTACATGGTAACTACTGGAGCCAGCGGCAAACTGGGAGCTGCGCCTTGGGTAGAGGCAGCGGCCAACAGCTGAGAGCTGCAGGGAGAGCCACTTCAAGGAGGGGAAGAGAGGGGGTGTGCCTGGGGGGGTATGACTCAAGCTGTTGGGGGGGCAATCTTTAAATTGTGTGCCCCCACTCTCAGCAGGCATCAGTCATCTCTGGCAGAAGCCCTAGCCCACCACCCCGCCACAGGGAAGAAGCCCTGAGCCCCCCCCCCACACACAGTCTGGTAGGCGAAGAATGGGGGGTTGTGAGGGGCTCCGGGAGCCTCACTTTAACTGTAAAAGAGCTGGATGTGGCTCATGAGTCACAGTTTGACCACCCCTGGACTAGATGACCATGACGGTCCTTTCTGGTCGTGAAGTCTATGAATCACATATTGGTTATGTTTAACAAGAGACACCCACAGGACTGAAAAGGTTGGGAACCATTCATGTAAATCACTGACAGTATAATCATACCTTATTGAGACAGCATTTTCCAATTGCTTGGAGAAACTCATTCGTTCTTTCAGGTTCATGTCCAGCTACAATACGTGCCGGCTTCACTGACAATGGCTCCCCTGTTACCATTATGACAACATCAATAGCCTTCTGGAGAAAGCTGATTTTGGCATCTTTATCCTGGAGGGGGGGAAGGGGGGGGAATTAATGTTATACATTATTAAAAGTCTATTTCACCTCTGATTTATAGCATATTTACAGAAACTTTCCTACATGAAATTATCCATTATTATTACAAAGCATTTTTGTTTTAGAAATAAGCATTTGATAATGGGTAGCTGTTGTAATCCAAAATTAAAATTAAAATATGACTTCCAATTTTTTTACATTGCAATCACTTTTTATGAGAGACCCCAGGTGGGTGAAGTAATAAATTTTATAAGACCAACTTCACTTGTTGGAAGGAAGAAGCTTTTGACCTTCACAGAGCTCTTCCTCAGGTCTGGAGAAGGTAAACAGAGTATCACGGCTAACGAAGTGGGGCAGATTGTTAAGCATAAAAGGTTCACACGTATTGTAGGAGATTGCTTAAAATTAAGAGGGCAGTTTAGCCTGGACACTCTAGTTACCTTCTCCTTGACCTGAGGAAGCTCAAAAGCTTGTGCCTTCCACCAACAGAAGCTGGTCCAATAAAAGATACTACTTGTCTCTCTTATCCTGGGACCAACACAGCGACAGCAACACTGCAAATCATTGTTCATCTCACGTACGTTATAAGATGTGCGGACACTGAGTTCTATTTTCTTGAGCTACATATTAAACAGATTAATTAAAAACACAGATAAGTATCTTTCAAACAATTTTGTTTTGTATCTGTACAGTGCCTGGCACAGTGGAGTTTTGATCAGTGACTGGGCACTACCCACAATACAAACATCACCACAATACTTTAAAAAAAGCAGTCCTTGACAACATAACTTTAGAAGAGTGTAGGTTTGTCATAGTAAATAGAATTCAGTGACACATGAATAAGTCACAGTACCTGGTGACAAGTTATAAAGAATTCCTACACAAAATAAGGAAATTTCATACCCACCTTAACATTATCAGATTTCATCTCAAAATCTGTGTAAAGCCCATTCATAAAACCAGTCACTCTAATTACCTTCAAAGCAAAGGAAACGCAGTAAATTACTAAAAAATACTTGAAAGCTTTTGAAAAAACCTTTTATGAGCTTCCTGCAATCATTTGGAGAGATACTATTTCATGCTGAATTATTTTGGGGGCAGTTTTAAAGATCTTCCATATTGCAATGATCACTTCTGTAATGTGTTTCAATAAGCCATTTAAAATCTTGTCAATTATTACATCTGAGCAGTACTGAAGATTCGTGCATCCCCCTTTTTGTTTTTAAATAGGAAATTAAGGTTCATGCACCCACAAGGCTCTATGCTTTAACTACAGTCTTGATTTATTCTGTTAATGCCTAACTTGTTGGTGGTTGATTTCTTTATAGACATGCACAGACTATGAGTTCAGAGAATTTCAAATTTTCTAGTAAGTAATCCATTTTTCTTCCAAGGAAGGTAAAAAAGCATAAGCTCTGTGAACATCTTCCAGTTTGTAGGAGTGCTTACCTCCTCCTTTTATTAAATTTGTCAGAAAATAATATAGTAGACGTTCATTAGTAGCAACATGTCGGTGCCTTTTGCTATGTTGCTCCTAAGCAGCTGTTGCTGTTGCCGAGAGTGCAGACAATTCACAGTAGGGAAATGTTCCCAGGAGAAAGTTGCTCATAAGTAAGGCTACGTTTTAGTCACACGTATTTTTAGTAAAAGTCATGGACAGGTCACAGGCAGTAAACAAAAATTCACGGCCAGTAATCTGTCCGTGACTTCTACTATACATCCCTGACCAAATCGGGTGGGGAGGCGGCTCAGGGGGCGCCAGGGTGCTTGGAGCAGGGGAGGGTAGCCGAGGGGGCACCGTGGATGCTGGGTGGGATGCAGCACATGGCCTGAGACCCCCTCTGGTGCTGGGGATGGTGGGGCTGGCAGGCTCCCTATCCAGCTCCTCGCAGCTCCCCAGAAACGGTGACATATCCCTCCCTCAGCTCCTAGCTCCACGTGCCGAACCCCATCCCACACGCACGCACCCAAACTTCTGCTGCTGCTGGGAAGGGGATAGGGAGGGGCAAGGGGTCCCGAGACTGCCCCAGCAGCAGCCGGTGTGGCTGGCCCAGGGGCTGCCCAAGCCCCTCAGGCAGCCCCTGGGCCAGCCGCACGGGCCACTTAGGGTGAACAGATGTCCCGATTTTATAGGGACAGTCCTGATTTTTGGGTCTTTTTCTTATATAGGATCCTATTACCCCCCACCCCCCATCCCGATTTTTCACACTTGCTGTCTGGTCACCCTAGGGCCACTGCAGAAGCCACATAATCCGTGACTTCCATGACAAACCCGCAGCCTTACTCATAAGCAGGGGTTGCTCTTACAAGGTTTGCTGCAAACAAGCATCTCCTGTAGTACTAAAGATCAACTGGGATTCTAAAGACCAAAAATACTTTCTATTTTGGCATCATCTTTCATCCGCAGCTGTTAATAAGTTTGATGAAGATGGGCAAAAACTCTTGCCCCCACACATGAGAAAAGGAAGGCAAAAGCATGGCACAGATACTTACTGCAGGGACGGAAGGGGTTTCTCCTTGCCGTAACAACTCCCCCCTGCCAAGCAGGTAGATAGCTACAATTCTTCTGTCAACCTCGTTGAGTCCACAGCAGGGGTTAGGTCGCCCTAACTACACTGCACAGGGTGTGAAATCGTTCGCAGCCCTGAGCGATGTAACCAGGTTGCCCTAAGTTTAGGTGTCTTAGACCAGGCCTAGGTGACTGGCCAAGGGCCACACTGCAGGCCAGTGGAAGTACCGGAACTAACCCCAGGCCTCCTACACGGAGCAGCCCTTGCTCTAGCCACCAGGTAAGGAGGCCTCCCCTCAGTTATAGGGCTCACCACTCTCCCCAGGCCGACGCTGCCCCCCCCCAGGGGGCCGGGCTCTAGTTACACGCCCCATGCTTGGCCTCAGCAGCCTGGAGCCAGACTCAAGGCAGCAGCTTGCATGTGCCGGGGAGGGGGCAGCTCCGATCCGCCCCTATTCCCAGCGCCTGCCCCCGGCTTTGGGCCAGGAGGCTTCCCAGGCCCTCCCCCCATGCCCGGGCGCCCGCGGCCCTGCGCAGGGGCTGAGGGTGCAGGTAGGGGAGACGGGGTCGGGCAACGCACACTCGGGGGCGCTGCTCCCAGCCGGGCTCACGGGGATCTCCGCGCCGCGGCGCCTAGCAACGGGGTGACGCGGAGCCCAGTGCCGCCGCCGCCGCCGCCGCCGCCTCCCGGGGGCTGAGCCCGGAACCGCCCCCCCGCGCCTCACCTCGCCGATCACGTCGTGCAGGTAGCGGAAGGGGGGCTTGCTGAGTAGCCGGTCAGTGAGGGGCGGTTTACGGATCACCCGCCCCAGCGACTCCTGCGTGCGCCGCACCACGGCCCCGTTCATGTCCCCTCAGCACCGGCCGGGCCGGCTCGGGCTCCGACCCCTCCCGGTATGCCGCGCGCCGCCCTCGACTGCGCAGGCGCAGCTGCCGAGACAGCTGTTACTACCCACATCGCGGTCCTAGCAACAGGCCGGAACAGCCCTGTGTGGGACCCGCCCCCACCGAATTCCCCCGCTCTTACAGCGGTCCCGCCCCTCCGTTCCGGGGGCCGAGCAGGGCCCGATCCGGGCTCCAAGGGGGGGCAGAGAGGCACTAATAGGGCAGGATGGTGCCAGTAAGGGTGCAGGATACAAATGGGGAGATGTGAAACTAGGGTTGCCAATCAGGGCCGGCTCTAGGTTTTTTGCTGCCCCAAGCAAAACATTTTTTGGCTCCCCCCTGCCAGGCCTGGGCTCTCTCTCTCCCCACACACCAACTGCACCCTCCTGCCGCCCCAGCCCTGGGTCACTGGTAACTCGCTCCCAGGGCGGGTCATTCAGCAGGAATTTTGGATGTGCACAGAACACAGACAGGATTCAGAGTAGCAGCCGTGTTAGTCTGTATCCGCAAAAAGAAGAACAGGAGTACTTGTGGCACCTTAGAGACTAACAAATTTATTAGAGCATAAGCTTTCGTGGACTACAGCCCACTTAAGAAC